GAGGACTATACATTGTTTTATAAATTGATCCTTTTATTTTGGACAGGTCACACTCTTTTTCCTTACTTTTGAGGAACTTTCTAGCTTCAGTTAAGTTCTCTGAATAAAAGGCTTTCTGTTTTAAAGTACCATCATTAGGCAGGCTTTGAGCCGAAATTTTTGGATGATTAGATGCACAAGCTGAATGGACACTAGAATTAACTTCCATCCTACATTGTAAAGTGTTGTCCTTCCTGTTATCTGAAGTTCTATACTGTATTGTATTGATCCTTGCAAAGCTTCCTTCGAGTTCATTCTGCTCAAAATGAGCAGTTTCAATATGAAAACACATTTCATCATAATTCATGCCTGACAACTTGCAAAATGGACATATAACTTCATTTTCCATGTGAACAATTAGAAGGTGAGCCTTCATGTCTGGTTCTGAGGTTACTGTTTCACCACAAATATCACAAGAAAGCATAGTACATCAGGGAGCTAGAAAAAAAATGTAATACTATGTTAAGTTTGAAAATAAGACTGAAGAAAAAGAAATGCACTTTATAAAATGATTTGGAACACATTTTTAACAAGTATTTACTTAAAACTGGATTGTTTAGATGAAGATATCTTCAATGAACTTAATTGTTCCTCAAATATACAAACTTATTTACAAATCTGAACCAAAATTTCACTACTATATTTCAAGTTTATGGTTTCAATAAAACAAAGGCAGTAATAATTCAAATTAAAATACATAATATTTAAAGTATTTAATAATTTTTTTAACATTTATTTATTATTGAGAGACAGAGAGACACAGAGCGTGAGTAGGGGAGGGGCAGAGAGAGGGGGAGACACAGAATCCGAAGCAGGCTCCAGGTTCTGAGCTGTCAGCACAGAGCCTGATGTGGGGCTCGAACTCACAAACCGTGAGATCATGACCTGAGCCAAAGTCATACACTTAACCGACTGAGCCACCCAGGCACCCCAATATTTAAAGTATTTCAAAAAACATGTCTGGTCTGAGATAAAGGAAAAAAAAATGTTTATAAAATTGTCCAAGTAAGATAACTCGGTTAAGGGAAAACTAAAAACAAAAAACAAAAAACCTTATCAACTGAAGTATCTAAATACAGAAACTTAAAGTTGTTAACAATGGGGAGGGTAAATAAACACATCTTAACTCAGTAGTTAACAGTTAAAAAGCTTTAGGTACATCAAAGTAATTTAAGTACATTATCATCATTCTATCTGGAGGAAACCCTGGCTCAGATAGGTCACCACAGCCAGAAAATGGTTAGGCAAACCTTTTGAGAGGCTGTCCTCTCAACTCAAAGTTGACCATGGTAGAAAAGAGCACCAATTCCAGAGCCAAGAGACCTGGGTTACAATTTCAGGTTTCAAAATTTTAGGTAAAACATCTCATCTCTTTGAGGCTCAATCTATAAAATGAACTGTACTAAACTGGCAGTCTTTTTAAGGTTTTATGGACTAATAAAATACCGGATGCCGACAAAATGTGATTTTGTTAGGATTTTTAAAAAGCCATCACTGCCACAACCTTTGTCTAGCTAAGGATTATTTAAAAACAAGCAGGAAAAGAAAAATAAGGAAATTCCCATCATTTAAATAAATTTAGTTTCATAAGAACTCCCTACATGGTCCTTAATTTTCTTATTCCCCTTAAGACAAGTGAAAATAGTCTTCGATTTTAGAACGAAATTCTCCCAAACCACCAGCTGAACCAACGTCATGCCTAGACTTTCTTCTTTTCCCGGGGCTGGGGCACGGCTAGACTCAGAGGGATACGCCTGAACTCCCAAACAGTGTGATCAGAACAAGTGGGTGAGAGATGTAAGGAGGCTGGTGACAGATGCCAGGGTAGGTAGGTGGTAAGAGAAGCCGTAAAGGCCGAATGCCGCAAGGCCAAGTGTGCCCAAAAGTCGGCGCCAACGTCCAGGAACCAAAACCAGCGCAGGCACTGAGTGGGTTAAAGTTTAGGCTGGGGGAATAAGGGTTGGGACCGTTAGTTCCTACCGGCCCGAAGATCCGGCCGCGGCCACACAGTCCTATGCTTGGCTTCCTCTTCGGGTCCGCAGCTGACTCCTTCTGGCTCTCGGGCAGAAAAGGGCACGCGCACCGTCGATTACCTTTACAGCCTGAAAGACTGAGGCAGGTTCTCCCTATATCCAGAAGTTCACAGTTAACCAAGAAAAAAAAAAAAAAAACTGACGACTCCAAAATACTTTCGCTTCCACACATTCAAAAAAGCTCTTCCTCTGTCCCCGGGAAGGAAAAGGCTCCCAGCATGCACCGCTCCATGCCAGTCTGGGTTGTAGTGTTTTCTGGGAGTTGTAGTCTTTTTGCATCCTCTTTCCCGGGTTCGGACTCTTAATTTACTAAGAGGCACGCGAGGCTCTGAGAATTTTCAGAATGAATTCGTACGACGGATCCTAGGACATTACACGAATCCATAATAACCTAGGGCCTGACTACCGATGTGTATCGATAAAGGGCTTATAATCCTACTACGTTCCAAAATCCAAACTATGCTCCACAGATGGAGGATAACTAAGATGAGTTCGTGCCTCAAGGTTACAAGATCACACACACCTTATTTTTAGGGTTCAGTTTTCATTTCATTCAATAAATATATAGCGAGTGTCTATTCGAAAGGCATTTTGCTTGGAACTGGGGCTGCAGAAGTCTTCAAAATATACAAAATGAACACCCTTTGAAGCTTACATGCTAGTGAGGCAGAAAATAAACAAGGAAACGAACTGATCATGATAGGTGCTATGAAGAAATAAAACTGAGTTATTTATAGAGAGGACTAATGTAGTTAGAAAAGGTCTCTCTGAGAAGGTGAGTGTTGTGATAAACTTTGCACCAACAGGAGGAAGAGCATTCCAGGCAAAGAAAATAATTAGAGCAAAGGCTCTAAGATTGGAGCAAAAAGAACATTTTGTGACTTGAGCAGAATGTTCTCGAAGGAAGAGTGGTTACTATATAAGGTCAGAGTTGTAGACAGGGGCCAAATCATGTAGGCTCTTGGAGAAAACTATTTTAATATTTACATAGGAGAGTGGCAAAACCTGATGATGTACAGTATATTTAGGGTTTTGTAGTTAAATATGGCAGATTGGACATGTACATTTATATTCCCTGCCTCTCGAAATCTACTAAAATGACAGAAGACTAAAAACAAAAAAAAAAAATGCTGATGAGATTTTAACAAAATTTGAAAGCTACGAAAGGATAGATGAGTAGAAACTAACTTGGATAAGAAGAGAAGTCAACAAAAACAAGTCACTTCATACACCAGAACTCAGGAAATGTTCAGAAATTAAAGACCTGACACATCTGAAAACCATATTAAAACTGGCCTGGAAAGAGGAACATTTTGCTGAAAAGTCTGAATAAAGAGCAGTTAGAACCATCTCCAGATTTCCTCCAACACTAGGTTGCCAATTGACTGATCTTTCCGTCCAAGACAGAAGGCTACAGGTTTGGTTTTATGAAGAAAATGAACCAGCAAGGTTATAATGTCAGAAATGCACAGCTAAGTGGAGGGGGGTGGGGAGGAGTCAATGTGTTGGACTGTAAGTGGGGAAGAGTGAAAGCTAAATACTGAATTACGAGGCTCCTAGCCATTTCCCCCAACACATTCTGATGTCTGATATGTGTCTTCCAGTCAGGAGATTAAAAAATTCTTCTCCAGGGAAGATCATTGGTCCAAAAGATAAGACCTACAGATAAGGAAAGTCCTTCAATGAAACAGCCAATATCCCAGGTTATTACTCTGTAGGGAGGACAATTGGCAAGCAGACAATGGGCTGTTATACAAATTTACAATAGTTTTCTTTAGTGTCTCATTCTTAAATATGAATGGATACTCAAGGATCACTAGGCATTAGAGTACAGCCTGTAGTAGTAAAGTTGAAAACCAAATGATGAAAAAGGAAAAAACAAAACTCTGAAGAAACAGAGACAACAAATGAAGGAGGAAAAAAATACTTAAAGGAAACTACAATTAATATCTTAAGAGAGACAAAAAAAAAAGATATTTAATCCCTGAATCAAAAAGGAAATAGCTCTTGGGATTAAAAACACAATAGCAGAATCTATGTATGTATGTATCTATCATCTATCTATCTATCTATCTATCTATCTATCTATCTATCTATCTCAATAGAGAGCCAAAAGGTAACCACGAAATTCTCAGAAAAGAAAACAAAAAGAACAAGAGATAGAAAACAGGATCTTCTTCAGGGCAGCTATCATGTGTTATCTACTATACTCTGTGTCCAGCATCACTTCTGGAAACAGATCTTTTCAATACTGTTTGTTGAACTCCAGAGTGGATTACAAAGCTTATGTGTGTTATAGTAATTTAGAGTTCTTTATTTGGAATTATTCATGTATCAATGACTATTTTTTGGTCAAAAATCCACAGATATTATAGAATCCAAATTCTAAATAAATGGCAAATTGAAAAGCTTGAAACAAACCAGCAGGACATAGGAAGAGGTTTAATGAAGCTTAAGGAGAGCCTCAGTAAAGCTCCACGAGGTTGGAATTTTTCCAGAGTGCACACTATTTCAGCTCCAATATCTAAAACAGTGCCTAGCACAGATTAGGCTCTCCATCAATACGATCTTGTAGGATGAGTGACTGAACAAACAAACCAAAAGAACGAATGAGTGAATGAATGAGAGCTCCCATAGAAGACTTAGGGCAGTAGAACTCATTGCTGCCACAGCTACCGCGCCCGATTGAAATCCCGGAGTCAGCGCAGGTACCGGCTCCTCCTTCGGTGGGTGGAGCTCTGCGCTCGCTTCTCTCCGCCCCTCTGCCGGTCGGTGCAGCCGCCGCCACCACCGCCGCTGCGGTCGCCGCTTGCAAGGGCTTCTGGGAGCTGAGTCTCGGGGTCTCGGGGAAGGGGCGCAGGTAGCCGCCATTTTGAGTTGCGAACCTTGTCGCTACGCTCGACGCTAGGGGCGGAGTGGCGACCCCACTGCTACCTGCAGCGGACGCCGCAACCGGGGACTGGGAAGTTAGGGCAGCGGATCGTGCCACATTAATGGGTAAGTGGGAGTGATACAGGCCAGTTTGGGTGAAGCTTGGGTTTGGTCCCTTTGGGGGTTTCTGGTTCCAGGGGTCACTGTATTTAGCCCTTTCCTTGCGAAGGCTTGAGGACCAGGCCATTCTGCCAGGGTTTTTTGCAGGGTTCCCTAAGGGACACATTGGTGGCGGGGGCGTGGCAGCCGGACCTTTTCCTTGCTGACGCGACGGTGCGGGGGATTACATATCCTCGCAGCCAGCCGGGCTGGCCCTCGGAAGGAGCCTTAAACGGCCGAGCTCATCCTGCCCGGTGCCGCTTCACCGTGCCTTGGTAGCTCCGTTCTCGGAGGTACACGGTCTGGTCAAATGTTGCCATTCAGTCCTGGGACTTAGCGTCTGTGTGGGTCCGGCAGCTTATTAGAAGTTCCACAGTGTCCAGAATACCGCACGGGTGGCCCCGGGGGCCTACTTGTCGCACGCTCGCGGTCCACCAGCTTCCCTCCTCCACCTGGATGTCGACGCGGGACTGGGTGGGATAGATGCTTCTAATAGCTCCGTTCCAAGATGAAAATTTAACAAGTGTTTCCTCGGTAATGCGTGAGAGGCGAAGGATTCGAAAGGTGTGCAACGAGATAGTGATACTTCAAAAGAATATGACATCGGCATTTACTCTTAGGCTTTTAAAAGCATTTTACGTCTGACTTGATGTCTCTTAATTACAGCACTCAGTAAGCGATTTTCTTTTTTGGTAAACAAGAAACAGCCTTATCCTTTAGCTCTTTAAGTACTGCTTGTTTGGTTATAGGGGCTGTAGTCAGAACACTTACCCCTTTGTACCAGCCTTATATTTTTACTAATACGCATCCAGACCCGTAGAAATGGAGGCTTTAGGGGCACAAGAAATTCCGTTAATATATATTAGAAGAAGTTCAAAATGCAATTACTTGCCCAACCTCAAAACAGTTTTTCAGAAAGCTGAGTGAAAAATAAGCTTATAACTGGGAGAAGAGAGAGAGAGAGAGAAAGAATCTCTGTTCTGCAGTCTCAAAGTATCTGAATGGCATTTCTTATATTTAAAGTAACTTGTATGAGATGGTAACCTTTGAAGTAGTCTTTAGAGTTATTTTACATAAAAGGGAACAATCCTCTCTGGTGAGGTACCTTTATAGATTGTTCTTGGACTATATGTCTCCTTTAAAGCAATTGCAGTGAGGATGCAGGTGTTAAATAGTACCAGAAAAAGGAACAAATGATACATGAGTTGTTGGGGGTAGATTTTATTTGGTTAACATTTATATTAAAGATTTTAATGTGGGCACCTAGATTAATGATTAATTAGAAGTAGTGTCCAGTGTGTAGGCTGGAGAGGCACAAGGTAACTGAAGTAGATGTGGGGAGAAAATACTAGAACTTGTTTCTTTACCTTTTAAAACTATTCTATAAAAATTTTTTCTATTTGTGAATTTTGTAATGGGAGAGATTATTAGGCTAGTAATACTTGTATATAAATAAACAAACATTGAGGATGAATACACAAATTTATTTATTTATTTATTTAGAAGAGCACAAGTGGGAAAGGGGCAGAGGGAGAGGGAGAGAGAATCCCAAGCACGCTCTGCACTCTTAGCCTGATGTGTTGTGGGGCTTGATCTCATGAAGTGTGAGATCATGACCTGAGCCCAAATCAAGAGTTTGATGTGTAACTGACTGAGGCACTCATGCGCCCCTGCACAAACATATTTTGCATGCATAAAGATATGTGATCAAAAAAAGATTAGAGGCCGATGGCCTCGAAAAGCCTAATGTGTAGGTGATAAACATTAAGAGGCTTATTACTATGAACATTTCATTTTGCTAAAATATTTTATATTTATTGAGCATAAGTCAACAACTAATGTTGAAGTCCAGTTTGTTCTGTAGTGAACTCATCTTTTTCTCATCTCAGAGCCAATCCTGTTATTAATGAGCCAGAATGTTTATATATGAAATACTTAGGGAATACTGCTGCACACTGTTTTTATTAATTAAGTTAGATTGAGCTGTTTCTAATGATAAGTATTTGTAGGTCCACACAGTATTATTGAAATCAATTCATTAATTATTTTAAAGAAGGATTTTGGTCGAGTATAAATATACCTTAATTGCTATGATGTACATGTGTTAAGTTCAGAGGCACAAAGTATCTTTCAAATCATTCTGAAGTGCTCAGCCTATTCCATTCTACTTTTAGCTCCACCACTAATGAAATTTCTCTGTCTTTACCAGTGACCTAATTATCAAATCTGATGCCTTGTGTGGCACCTGGCTTATTGTAGGCACTTAGATTTGCTGGATGAATCAAAGAATGAATAAATCAAGTGGTCTGTTTTCAGTGCTACTATAAATTAAATACAACCTTGTCTTTTGAATTCTCTTCTCTTTCCTCTTTCTTCTGGTTCTCTTATTTCTCTGACCTATTTCTTTTTGGTCCTTTGTTCCTTTTCCCACTAAGAGATAAACATCCTCAAGATTTCAATCCTTGGCCACCTTTCTTTTATAGCTCTGCATGATCTTGGATTATCAATTAGGATTCTTCCTGAGGTTTGACCCATATTTTTAACCATCTATAGGTCTAAATCTCCTGTATGTGTCCTAAGTATTATAAATTGAACACATTTAAAATGTAAGTTGCTATACGTGTATTAGAATGGCTACAATTAACAACAACAAAATTCTGGCAGTACCACCTGTAGCAGAACAAAGAGCAACAGGAACTCTTACACATTGCTGATGGGAGTACAAAATGGTACAATACTTTGCTGTTTGGCAGTTTCTTATAAAATGGGAGGCATAAACTTACCATGTTATCCATCAGTCCTACTTCTAAATATTTACCCGAGAGAAATGAAAACATATTTACACAAAAACCTGTACATGAATATTTATGACATTTATTCATAATTGTACTAAATTAGAAACAACCTAAATGTCCTTCAACTAATGAATCGAGCAACTGTGATATAAGCATGGAATTGAATACTACTCAACAATAAGGAATGAATTATTGATATATGCCAACAATATGGATCTCATAGCTACACTATGCTAAATGAAAGAAGCCAATTCAAGACTATACACTGTTTTTATTCCACTTACTGTGAAATTCAGGAAAAGTCAGAACTGTGGAGATAGAGAACAAGTCAGTGATTGCCAGGTATTAAGGGTGGAAGAGGGGCTAATTGGAGCAGCATGAGGAAGTTTTTTATTTTTTATTAAAAAAAAATGTTTTTTTAATGTCTGTTTACTTCTGGGGCGGGGGGGAGGGGCAGAGAGAGAAGGAGACACAGAATCTGAAGCAGGCTCCAGGCTCTGAGCTGTCAGCACAGAGCCTGACCTGGGGCTCAAACCCACGAACCGAACTGTGAGATCATGACCAGAGCCAAAGTCGGATGCTCAACTGACTGAGCCACCCAGACACCTCAGCATGACAAAGTTTTTTAGGGGTCATGGAGCTGTTTGTATCTTGATTGTGATGGTTTTATGCTGTGCATTTGTCAAATTCATAGAACTTTATACCAAAGGAGTGCTTGTTTTACTGTATGTAACTTTAAAAAGAAAACAGTTCATTGTTTTCATCTCAAAAACAAGCTAGCAATCAACGTTTTATTTATTTTTGGGACAGAGAGAGACAGAGCATGAACGGGGGAGGGGCAGAGAGAGAGGGAGACACAGAAGAGGAAACAGGCTCCAGGCTCCGAGCCATCAGCCCAGAGCCTGACGCGGGGCTTGAACTCACCGACCGCGAGATCGTGACCTGGCTGAAGTCGGACGCCTAACCGACTGCGCCACCCAGGCGCCCCAACAAGCTAGCAATCAAACAAAACCATCCCTCTGATACACCATCTGTATTCCCTGTCTTGGCTTATTTTGTCATTGTACTGAAATAGCTCAAGCTAAAAACCATGGGGTTTCCTAAACTCCTTTTTCTTATTCACCTCATATTTCTTATATTTATTTGGTCTCTTATTCTTTTTGAATCAATTTCTGCAATGTTTCTGGAATCAACAGTCTTCTACATTTCCAGTGTAACTATTAATTTAGTTCTGGTCTTCATCATCAAAGTTCAAAACAATCTTCTCTTTAATTTCTTTAATTCTGTTCCTTAGGATCAAATCCAAATTTCTCAACCTCATTGCAGGAACCGTAGGTGTTCTTAGTTACATTTCTAGCTTTATCTCCTGCCTTTTCTCCCATGAATCTTGTTTAGGCACACTTAATTTCTTACTGTTTTGTGATTATGCCAGTTTTCTGCAAGAACTGTGCCTTTGCATGTATTCCCTCTGCTTGAAATGCTTGTTCCTTCCCTTTCTCTTTTCATCCTCTTTCCTGGCAAATTCTTGCTCTTCCTTTAAGATAACTGTGAAGATTTTCAGAGCTCCCTGAGGCACAGTTAGCTGCTTGGTCTTCTGGGCTTTCACGGGATTCAATGCATATGTTTCAGCTACTCTACTAATTACAGTATAATTTGCTACTTCATTAGTCTGCCTTTGACATCAGAGATAGCAGATAAATGCCAACCTTCTTTTTCTTCTGTTTACTTCATAGTGTTAATTGATCACAATATTCTCTTTGGTTTCTGAAAGTAAAATTATTATATTATTTTAAAGGTAACATGTTACATAAAATACTGTAAGTGCATTTGTAAGAAAATGTTTATATAAAAGTTAATGTTTTTAAATACATTTATAATAAAACTACTTAAAAATATATAAGTATTTCAGCATTTAAAAAGAACTAATTATACCATAGTACTGCAAACTAGTATTGTAGTCGTGACTGAAGTCATGACCCATGCAGCCTTAGTTTGTTTTTTTTTAATTTTTTTTAACATTTTATTTTATTTTCGGGGGGAGACAGAGCATGAACAGGGGAGAGGCAGAGCCACCGACTGAGCCACCAGGCACCCCCAGTCTTAGCTCTGAAGGCAGCACTTTAAGTAAATAAAAGAAGCCAGACCCCCAAAAATATTTGACCTGTGCTTACTGAAGCCTAATACCATGTTCCCTTGAAAATAAGGTATTTCATTCTGGCCATTTCTTGATCTTGTTGGGAGCATAACTTAGGAGGTTTTTTTTTTCAATTCTCTTTTTTTTTTTTAAATGTCGTTGGAGCCGCCTGGGTGGTTCAGTTGGTTAAGGATCCAACTGTGGCTCAAGTTACAATCTTACGGTTCATGGGTTCGAGCCCCACGTCTAGCTCTCCGCTGACAGCTGAGAGCCTGGAACCTGCTTTGGATTCTGTGTTTCCCTCTCTCTCTGCTCCTCCCCTGCTTGTGCATGCACACACTCTCACTCTCAAAATAAATAAACATTAAAAAATAAAAAGTTTTTTTAAAAAAATTATTATTATTTACTTATTTTGAGAGAGAGAGAGGGAAAGAGAGAAAGAGAGAGAGAATTCCAACCAGGCTTTGCCCTTCAGCGCAGAGCCTGATGTGGGGCTCCATCTCACAAACCATGACATCATGAGCTGAGCCAAAATCAAGAGTCAACTGCTTAACCGACTGAGCCACTCAGGCACCCCTAGAAGTTTTTTACCCAACTATTTCATGATTGATAATTTCCTGGCTGACAGTGAATATAAGACGTTTCCTACTTCAGAAAGGTTAAAACAGCAGGCTTTGTGGAGTGCGTCTTAAAACCAGTGAAGTTAGGGTAATGACTTTATCTGTGTTTAGACCAAAATCTATTATTTGTTTGATAGTTTAGTCCTTAAAATATTTGGTCCTTTTGCTCCAATTTTGTTATGGGAATGAGGGAATGTATTCTTTGTACATGATCTTTAGAATGGATTTTGTAATTCTATTTAAGCAGTAAGCATGAACTTAGTTTCCCTAGAGTAAACATTTCATGTTGTTTTGAGAGTTACAAGTATCTGTTTTCTTCTCTCCTAACCTTAAGATGCCATGGCTAGTCCAGGGAAAGATAACTATAGAATGAAAAGTTATAAGAACAAAGCCCTAAACCCCCAAGAGATGCGCAGACGAAGAGAAGAAGAAGGAATACAGCTTCGAAAACAAAAAAGGGAAGAACAGGTAGGTGTTTCAAAATATTTAATTCTGTTTATCACAAAACTGTATAGATTTTAGAAGTTGCGTTATTATTGCTTATTTTTAGATAATTTTAAATGAAAAAGTGTTTTAGGAAATTGAATATAAGCCTATCCTTTAATTTGTTAGACTCCAGGAGTAATTCATGAATCAGAAACCTGTACTATTTTTAATCATTGAGAGGAACAGCTTTTCTGTTCTATTGATAAAACTTTTCTGTTAATTATATTTTATCCCAGTGCTAAGGATTTTTTACCCTTAAGCCTGTTTAGATCACTTCTGTTTGTCATTGTAAAATTCTTCCCCAAAAAATATTGTATTCATTTGCTGCTTTGTGGTTTTCACAGTTCTTGCTTTTAAGTTAATTGTAGTCATCTTCCTATGCTGATCATACTGTTCCTTCTGTAGTCTCATCAGCCAGCTAGATCTCTAAGACTTCTCTGTTCTGAACTTTGTATATGTGACATAAGGAATAGAAGCATCATTAGAAAGAGTGCCTCTCAATGCTTTTCATTCCAAGTTATACTTAAGTTTAGAAATATTTATAAGTAATTAAGAGGGTATAGTCTTCACATGCGTAAATTAAAACTAATGTGCAGAAAGGGCTAGCAATGAAGAAAGTAGAGAAAGACCCTGTTTTATAAATATGATTTGTCATCTCCCTATCTGTATTATCTAGCACAGTCCTAACTATATTATAGTAGGAACTCAAAAAAAAATTTAAAAAAATCTGTTGAGTGAATGATTAGAAAGAACTATACTGGCTGAAGAAGAGTGGTAATTATTTAGCTATCAAAAAGAATATGATACCAGAAATTTTCCTCTCTATTTTGATGTAGGAAATGTATCTATGCATCCTACTCGGTGACTTCTCTATGCTTTATTTCTCTTATCTTTTTTTCTTTATTTTTTTTTCACTTCTGAAATAATAAGGATAGGGCCATCTTTCCTGAGAGTTGTTCTCTATTCCTTATTAATCTGATATACTAAGTGTGTTAATATGCCACATTATTTTTCTCAGGTAACTAATTTGCTTTTTTATTAAGATTTCTTGGAAAAATTTTTGAAAAATTTTTAGACATCTCATACACTAGTGTGAGCATATGTGCTTTTACAAGTACTATAAAACATAAATGTGTACTGCACTGAAGGGACCCGCCATTGGTAAAAGATCTGAAATTAAGAATGACTTAGAGCAATCTGCAGGATAGAGGCTAACCTAGCTTGGAAAGTTTAACTTCTCAAAGATTATTAAGGTCTTCATGGCATAGTGATTGAGAAACACCTAAAATATTTGGAATTTTAAATGATAAGATTATTAGTTTGTTTTGTACACTTAAATGAAAAATATAATTCTATGGGAATTCAGTGTTTTATGTATAAAGTGTTTGTTCTTTATTACAGCTGTTCAAACGCAGAAATGTCTCTTTGCCCAGAAATGATGAATCTATGCTAGAAAGTCCAATCCAGGATCCAGATATCAGTTCCACTGTACCTATTCCAGAGGTAGATATTACAAAAATATATTTCAGATTATACTTCAATAATATTTTGGAGGTAGTGGATACAACAAATATTATTCATATAAAATATGTAAATGATAAATTATATTTTCTGTGTTTTAGGAAGAAGTTATCACCACAGATATGGTTCAGATGATTTTTTCTAATAACGCTGATCAACAGCTTACAGCAACACAGAAATTTAGAAAGCTGCTTTCTAAAGGCAAGAATTATTATTTTACGAATTGATTTTTAATAAGCAATTTAATTTAGTACATTTATCTTATAAAACCAGAAAATTTAATCATTTAATAAAAGAAGGCTATGGGTCATTACTTTTCCTAGATCAACATGATAAAATAAGCTTTAAAATTTGCTAATGCTAATGGATAATGAACTGAACTTGTAATGACACGATTTAAAATTGATGTCACTTTTTTTTTCCCTCCAAATTTTTATTTAAATTCTAGTTAGTTAACATATAGTGTATATTGGTTGCAGAAGTAGAATTTAGTAATTCATTGCTTACATATAACCTCCAGTGCTCATCATAACAAGTGCGCTCCTTAACTCATCACCCATTTCAGTATGCTTATTTGATATTACAAGATTCTGCACTAGAGTTTTATTTATTGGATTTTTTTTAAGGCACTCTTCTTTGTACATCTTAATTTTTCTTTAAAATGTACTTTTAAATAAGATATATTTTTGGAGGGGGTCCCTGGATGGCTCAGTCGAGTAAGCGTCCAACTCTTGATTTTGGCTCATGTCATGATCTCACAGTTAGTGAGTTTAAGCCCTATGTCAGGCTACACAGTGATAGCGCAGAGCCTGCTTGGGATTCTCTCTCTCTCCTTCTCTGTCTTCCCCTCCCCTGCTTGTGCACAAACACGCTCTCTCTTTCTCTCTCAAAATAAAAAACTTTTTAAAAAATATCTATTTTTTTTAATAAAGTTAATTAATTAATTTTTTTTTTTAAGTAGGCACCACACCCAGCATGGCGCTTGAACTCACTCAAAACCTGGAGCTCAAGAGTCTTATGCTATACTGACTGATAAATAAGGAACACTAACCGAGAAGTTGCTGGGGAACCATAAGAATATACTTTTTGTTGAAACCAAGGGAGAAGAAAGACTTTTTGGTACTTAGATTGCCAATCGCTAAAATATCTTGGTTTTATTTTTGCGTATCTTTGTTTGAAAATTTCCTAGAGATTTTGTGGTTCTCAAAAGTCCTCTGCATTTCATGAAAATTTATGAAGAATACTAATAGTTCAGTAGCATTTCTGTAAATAATGGATTATACTCTGACAAAATGGAATATAACTTGACTGGAAAGCATTAGACAATGGTTGACAGGGAAGGGGACATCCCTGGAAAGTGGAGTATGCTTATAAAGAATTAGAGGGAACATTATCTTTCAGTTGGTGTTTCGAATGTTAGACTGAAATACTCCATGTTGTGAAGGTGAGCCTTCAACTTACAAAATTAAATATTTGTATAGGAAATATTTTAGGATTTGTCTTACTGTGGTCAATGTAAAAGAATTTGCTTTGCAGTAAACATTGCAATTAGGAGAACATTTATTTACTTCAATTACATATACCTGAGGCTTTTAAACTTGGTCAGTGAAACCTAGGAAAGTTATTTTGTGCGTCCTGTTAATTGACACTGGGACCAGATTATTGTCTTTTTGTGTCATGTAATAACTTAATTCTTTTTAATTTTTAGAACCTAATCCACCAATTGATCAGGTTATACAGAAACCAGGAGTTGTACAGAGATTTGTGAAATTTCTTGAAAGAAATGAAAATTGTACTTTACAAGTGAGTTCTAAAGTTTTCTTTCTTAATTCTTTGCAGAAATAACATGTGATTAAAGTTTCTAGTGAAAGGAAGTTCTACAGTACTGAATATATTTAAGCATTCAGGAATAAAGGGAGAGGTGATGCCACCTGTCTGGCCCTGGTCATGTTTGCAATGCTGGTTTCTCCTAGGAACGTTTGTTCTGTTAAACAATTTTGGAAAAAGTATATAAAATCATTGTTAATTTAATAAAAATTTTGTAGCTGTCAACCTTTAATAAATTTTTTGTTTTAGAAAACCTCAAATTAAAATATTAATGGGTAAATTTTTTTGACCCTTAGCTAATTAGGGTTGTAACATTTTAGTATAAGCTCTTTTACCTCTTAAAATATTTTTATGTGATTAAGTTTTTTTTTTTTGAAAAAAAAAAAACAACTAATCAATATAATTTACTAATTATAAAAAGTTAGGTTTGTCCAAAAGAGCATTGCTTCTGTTAGAATACCTGACTCTTTAATACTAAACATTAGTTTTGTGAATTATAATTTCAGATGTGTTCATTTATTGTTCATGATTTTATACATTTTCATTATATTTTTTTCAGTTCTTATTTTTCCAGATTGAGTCTTTTTTTTTTAATGTTTTTATTATTTAGTTTTGAGAGAGAGAGCAGGGGAGGGGCAGAAAGGATGACAGAGGATCTGAAATGGGCTCTGAGCTGTCAGCACAGAGCCTGCTGTGGGGCACAAACTCACAAACCTTGAGATCATGACCTGAGCCTAAGTTTGACGCTCAACCGACTGAGCTACCCAGGCGCCCCAGATTGAGTCCTTTTTTAAAATTAAGAATTTTTATTTATGAAATCTGATTAATTTTACTAGTTGTAAATCAGTCTTCCAGGTTGTTCAGCTAAGTCTTTACTCTCCCTCTTTCCTTTCTTTTTGACATTTCTTTGGTGCTCTCACTTACTCTACTTCTATTTTTCCTTAGTTTGAAGCTGCATGGGCATTAACTAATATAGCATCTGGAACTTTTCTGCATACCAAGGTAGTGATTGAAACTGGAGCTGTTCCAATTTTTATCAAACTTCTTAATTCAGAACATGAAGATGTGCAAGAACAGGTATATGTTTCTAATATGAATGGTTATGTTTACTAGATTTTCATGTTTTCTTGAGAGTTGCATGTGCATTTCATTTCTTAAAACACAGTAATTTCTATTTGGTGTCAAATTAGAATGAAAGTAGAATGCACTGTCTCAGGCATAATCCTGGGTTCTCTGTAAGTATGATCTCAACTATCAAAAATTACTATTCCCATGTATAACAGAGCATACTGAGACCCAGAAAGTTAGTAATTTACCCAAAGTCACAGTGAATGGCTGAACCAAGTTTTAAACCTGGGCTGGTCTGACTCCTCATTCTTTGCTTGTCCATAGGTTATTTTGTTGTTGTTGTTGTTGTTTTTTAAATATCACATTATTTTTAATAGAACTGTTTTAAAATAAACATAAATAAATTCTCATAGTTGTTGTAAGAGGGAAATTTTAATCACATATGATTTGTACCAACAAAAGAAAATAAAATGTGGTATTTTTGTTTTGAACTGTTTTTATGGCAAATTTATCTGTTGTCCATTCATCTGTTTAGTTTTATATATACAGTATATGGGGTTTTTCCCCCCACATAGCATTGATATTAGGAGCCTTTTCTAATGACATTAATTATTCTTCCAAGAAGATTTATTGATTACTCATTATCTAGTCAGATATATACCATAATTTGTTATCTATCCCTCAGTTATATTATACATCATGTTATTTCTAGCTTATTAATGTTATTGATATGTGAGGAACATTATATATCAATCTTTATCTGTCTCTTGATTATTTCATTAGGAAAAATGACTTAATTATGGTAAAAGAAAAAATTTTAAGTTCTTATTACATTTTTCAAAGTTGACCTCCAAAAAAGTTATATGTGTTGATTTCCCCACCAATAGGATATCGATTCCACAGGGTGAAAAATATCATTAATTTAAAAGAGTTTTCTTAAGGTAGCTATATATGGCTTACTTGGTTAAAGCACCTATCTCATAAAAGATCTTTCTTTTTTTTTTTTTTAAGTTTATTTTATTTATTTTCAGAGTGAGACAGATGGGGAGGGTTAGAGGGAGAGGGAGAGAGAGAGAATCCCAAGCAGGCTCTGCAATGCCAACACAGAGCCCCAACGCAGGGGTTGAACTCATGAGCCATGAGATCATGACCTGAGCCAAGATCAAGAGTTGGACACTTAACCGATTGAGCCACCCAGTGCCCCTTATAGAAGGTTTTTCTTAAAAAAATAGAAAATAGGGGCGCCCGGGTGGCTCAGTCGGTTAAGCATCCGACTTCGGCTCAGGTCATGATCTCGCGGTCCATGAGTTCGAGCCCCGCGTCGGGCTCTGTGCTGACCGCTCAGAGCCTGGAGCCTGTTTCAGATTCTGTGTCTCCCTCCCTCTCTGACCCTCCCCCGTTCATGCTGTCTCTGTCTCAAAAATAAATAAACGTTAAAAAAAAAAATTAAAAAAAAATAGAAAATAAACTTAGGTCTAGAGTTGATGTTAAAAATATTAACTCATGTTTTAAATGTTAAAACTTTGTCAATTGAAAAACGTAACTTATGTCTACTTGTGTACTTACTTGAAAAATTTGAATAAGAATATAATGAAATGATGATTTGTATTTGTAGAATTTATCATTTAATTGAAGTTTAATAAGTGAATCTTTATTTCCAATTATTTAAAAAAATTATGATGAACCTGGACTATTTCTAAACTTATTTTCTTTTTTTTAAAAATTTTTTTTTTTCCAACGTTTATTTATTTTTGGGACAGAGAGAGACAGAGCATGAACGGGGGAGGGGCAGAGAGAGAGGGAGACACAGAATCGGAAACAGGCTCCAGGCTCCGAGCCATCAGCCCAGAGCCTGACGCGGGGCTCGAACTCACGGACTGCGAGATCGTGACCTGGCTGAAGTCGGACGCTTAACCGACTGCGCCACCCAGGCGCCCCTAAACTTATTTTCAAAGATCAATCCCAAGCCAATTCTTATATTAGCTTTACCTCACTTTTCTGTGTTTTGTGTCTCCTTCCCTTTTTTTACAAATCAGTCCCTTCCCAGTGAGTGGATTCCTTGGCATAAGAGCAAACCTCTAGTATAAGTAATTAAATAATTCACTAAATTAATATATCTTATCTGAACCCATGTAGATTTGGAGTAGACAGTCTCTTTGTTGAACAGAATAAACATTTCACTAGTATGTAATGAAAAAATTGTTTAATGCCCAATCCTTCAGTTTGACTAAAAATATTAGTAAATGGCACTTTTAAACTTTTCTTACTGTCCATCTAGAATGTTTTGTTTTTTTAAACATCTTGGAAGCTATTACTTTGTTCATTGTGTACTAAAATCTTATTTGTAAGAGAAAGCATCTTATTTAAGATATTGTTGTAACAGGGTATCTCTTTCTCATTTTTCTAAGGCTGTTTGGGCACTTGGCAATATTGCTGGTGACAATGCCGAATGCAGAGATTTTGTTTTGAATTGTGAAATACTTCCACCTCTTTTAGAGTAAGTACTTTATCACAAATGAATACTAGTTTTGGGAAAAAAATTATATTCTGCAGTATATTTCTGTATACACAATTACGTTCTTCAGTGATGCTTTTAAATTTGGCTTCTGTTTAGCTGTACCAAGAGTAATAGCTTGAAAGTAGATTAAAAATGTTTCTACTTTTATCGTATCCATCTTTATTTTTTCTTAAGCAATACTTAACAGTGTTCATTGTGTGCTTGATGCTTACTGTGCTGAAATAATTCTATAAAATGAGGATATAAGTAGTTGCACTACAATAAAAATTTAAGTTTTGCTAAAGCATGGAATCTTTAGTGCATGAACAGATGATGTATTTAGGATATCAGGTTTTTATATTTGATTTTGAAATGTTCAGAGAACAAAGATCATAAGAGATTTTTCTTTCAGAGTTAGAATTTTACTTAAACGATTTATCTAGCGGTTTCTTTTTCAAATACATTACACGTTTTTTTTAAAAAGCAATTATTCTAAATCCTTTACAGAAATTTCATAAAATTATTTGAAAGTTAAATTCCTTTATTCATCCTGGCTACCTATCACTAAAAAGATCTTTTTTTAGGCTAATTGCCACTGGCAAGTAGTGAAAAAGAAAAAAACTAGTTGAGATGGTTGAAAGGAAAAATTTTGTCATTTCTGTGCTATTAGTCATTCTCTCCAAGCTGAAAAATTGAATAGGAAGAATAAACTTTAGATACTAGTTTGCAAAAGATATTTTATTCTTTTAGAGAGAGTAACTTTCCATGAATAGAGTGATTTCTCAGCATTTCACTCAATAACATCGAATGTTTAGTATGTACAGGCCACTGAACCACTTGCTATGTCATTAACTTTGGGCTTGTTCAAAGTTAATGTTCCAAAGTGTTGGAGAATTTAGCTGAGCTATAAAATAAAATACTGATTTAGAGTTCAATATCAGAGTTATTTTGAATTTCATACTGTTAAAAGTATCTCTTAAATTTTCAATTTGAGATTTTTCTGGCCTGATTATAGGGTTTGTAGATTAATTGAGCACTTTGTTTCTTTTTACTTTTGCTGTCTCATTTTCTTATTTGTTAGTATTTCAAGTTGGTAATGGTTTATGAAATAATATGTAAGCATTTCTTAATTCTGATTCCTTTAAATGTTTAAGGAAATTTTAATCATGACCAAAGAAACAAAACAAAACAAAAAAATAAAGCTCTAAAGGAGAACAAAAGCACCCAGCTAAATAGTTATAAACATAATAAATTTCAGAAAAAGAATAGGCTTAAAAAGTAAGTTTCAGTTTCATTAGAAAATTGAGAAAGATAGTGAAAAAGAAATTATGTCAACTTAGCTACCCAGATGCATACACTTTAGTTGGGCCAAAGGATGAAAGTTATTAGCTTAAAAAAGATTATGGATTATCTGTTGTTCACATTGAAGTTCACATTTTAGTTGATAAGTAAATGTAAAACTTCTGTTAATGGTTTTATCAATTCTGTTTGAGTTTTAATTTGTTTTACTTTACTTCATTTGATATCAGTAAATATAACTTTTCAGTAAACATAAACCTCTCAGTAAATGTAAACTTCTTACTACTATAGACTTCATATACTGACACATTTGTTGTTTTAATTTAGTTCAACTTTAATTTATATAATAACCCCATTAATATAGTTAAAGAAGAGTAGTATACAACAGAGCTTGGACAACTGCAGTCCTCAGGCCAAATCTGGCCTGCTTCCTGTTTTGTAAATTAAATTTTATTCTAACATAGTCATTCCCATTTGCTTACTTAATATCTATGGTTGCTTTCATGCTACATCAGCACAGTTGAATAGTTACTACACAGAAAGGTGTGCAAAGCCTAAAATATTCATTTAAAAAGTTTCTCAATCCCTGATATAAAACGTCAATATAATTATTTTATTTCTAAATGTGTTACGGTTTTAGGAGGTTTCAAAGACTATAGGAAGACATGTAGAACAAATTTTGTTTTTATATATGATAAAAGATAATATAACAAAATTTACCATTTTGACTGTTTTAAAATATACAGCTCACTGGCATTAAGCAGTGTTTTGTACCTATCACAATTATTTAGTTCCAGAACTTTTAACACCCCAAGCAGAAACTGCATTACCCATTAAGCTGTCATATCCTATTTCCTCACAGCCTCAGCTCGGGGAAATCACTAATCCGCTGTTTCTGTGGATTTGGCTATTCTGGATATTTTATAAAAATGGAATCATACGTTGTGTGACCTTTTGTATCTGGCTTCTTTCACTTAGCATATTGTTTTCAAGGTTCATCCATATTATAGCATGTATCAGTACTTCATTATTTTTGTGGCTGAATAATATTCTATTGTATTTTGTTCCCTTATTCATCAGTTGATGGTCATTTGGGGTTTTTCCCCCCACCTTTTGATTATATAGTATTCCTATGAACATTCATTCTTTTTAGGTATATACCTATGAATAGAATTGCTGGGTTGTATGGTAATTCTATCTTTAACTGTTTAAGAATCACCAAACTGTTTTCCATAGCAGCAGTACCATTTTACATTCCCACCAGCAATGTATGAGAGTTTCAGGTTTTCCATATTCTCATCAGCACTTGTTATCTGTTATTCTGATTCTGATTTAAGGCTGTAAGGCGGTATCTCATTTTGCTTTGATTTGCATTGAACATCTTTTCATAGGTTTGTTGGCCATATGTATATTTTCTTTGGAGAATGTTTATTAAGTCTTTTGAATATTTTTTTAAATTTAGTTATTTGTCTCTTTGTTGTGTTACAAGAATTCTTCATAGGGGTGCCTGGGTGGTTCAGTCAGTTGTGTCCAACTTAGGCTCAGGCCATGATATCATGGTTCATGAGTTCGAGCCCCGCATCAGGCTCTGTGATGACAGCTCAGAGCCTGGAGCCTGCTTCGGATTCTGTGTCTCCCTCTCTCCCTGCCCCTCCCCTGCTCGCGCTCTGTCTCTCTCTCTCTCAAAAATGAATAAACATTAAAAAAAAAAATTTCTTCATATATTCTGAATAGATTCTTATCAGGTAAATGATTTACAGTTTGTTTTGTTTTGTTTTGTTTTGCATTTTCTGGGTTGTCTTTACTCTCTTGATAGTGTCCATTGATTCACAAAAGTTTTTTAAATTGATGAAATCCAATGTATCTGTTTTTTTCCTTTTGTTGCTTATGCATTTGGTGTTGTATGTAAGAAACCATTGCCAAATTTAAGGTTGTGAATATTTGCCATTATGTTCTCTTCTAAGAATCTTACAGTCTTAGTTCTTATATTTACATCTTTGATCCATTTTGAGTTATTTTTTTTTATATGATATGAGTTGCATTTGGGCATTCACTTATCCCAGCATGATTTGTTGAACAAAATATTCTTTCCCCATTGAACAGTCTTGACACCTTTGTTGTAAATGAGTTGACTATACATGTGTGGGTTCATTTCTAGATTAATTCTGTTCCATTGATATATACATCTGTCCTTTTGCCAGTACCATACTGTTTTGATTTCAGTACCTTTGTGGTAGACTTTGAAACAAGAACACGTGAGTCCTTCAGTTTTCTTTTTTTGGTTAAGGTTGTTTTAGCTATAGAGGGTCCCTTGCAATTGCATATGAATCTGTTTTCAGGGTACAGAACTGATTAAATTTATTCCTAAGTATTTTATTATTTTTTTGATGGTATTTAGGTGAAATTTGTTCCTGGATTTCTTTTTTGACTTGTTCATTGGTAGTCTTTGTGATCTAACATACAGTATATCCTGAGGAATGTTTAATGTGCACTTGAGAAGAATATATATTCTGCTGTTACTGAGTTGAATGTTGTATAGGTGTCTTTTATATTTAGTTGGTTTATAGTCTTGTTGAAGTTCTCTGTTTTTTTGCTGATCATCTATCTAGGTGTTCTATGCATTACTGAAAACAGTGTATTGAAGTTTCTAACTATGATTGTTCAACTGTGTATTTCTTCCTTCAGGTGTAACCATTTTTGCTTTGTATACTTTGCTGTGTTGTTAGGTTTTATAAGTTTTAAGTGTTATACCTTCATTATGGATTGATTTTTTTTTTATCAATATATAGTATTCGTGTTTGTCTCTTAAAATAACTTTTTTTAAAGTTTATTTATTTTAAGAGAGAGAGTGAGCAAGCAGGGGGGAGGGGCAGAGAGAAGGAGAGAATCCCAAGCAGGCCCCACATTGTCAGTGCAGAGCCAGACTTGGGGCTCGAACCCATGAACCATAGGATCATGATCTGAGCTGAAATCAAGAGTCAGTGGCTTAACCAACTGTGCCACCCAGGTACCCCACCTTAAAATAATTTTTAACTTGACGTCTGTTTATCTGATACTAGTATAATTAGTATTTATCTGATTCCATCCTTTCACTTTCAGCCTCTTTGTGCCTTTAAATCTAAAGTGAGTATCTTGTAAAGTTTATTATAGATGGCTTATAGATTGTTGCTTGTTTATTTTTGGGTTTTTTAAAAATGTATTCTGCCATACATAAAAATGTATTCTGTATAAAGCCTTCTAATGGAAGGCTTTAATCCATTTGTAATCAGCATAAATACTGACAAGGAAGGACTTCTGCCATTTTATTGTGTTCTGTATGTTTTATATCTTTTTTGCTTCTCAATTCCTTATTGCCTTCTTTTGTGTTTGATTTTTTGTGGTAAGATATGGTATTGATTCCTTTCTCATCTCCTTTTCTGTATATTTTCTAGTTATTTTCTTAATGATTAATCCAGGGAGTACAGTTAACATCTTAAACTTACAATAACCTTGTTTAAATTAATACCAATTTAATCTCAATCTTATGAAAAAACTTTGCTCCTGTATATTACTGTCCTACCTCCTTTAAGTTGCTATTGTCAAAAATAACATTGTACATTGTATGCCAGTTAACATCGACTTATAATTATTACTTTATTTATTTTTTAAATCCTATAGAAAAAAAAGAAAAATTACAAATCAAAACTACTACCTTTTATGTTAACCTATATAGTTATTTTTAGCAGTGTTTTTTTTTCTTCTGGTTTTGAGTTACTGTTTACTGTGCTTTCAGTTTTAGTTACTTTTGTAAAGCAAGTCTACTAGTGACGAATTTTCTCAGCTTTTGTTGTACAGGGAATCTTTTACTCTGATTATTTTGAAGGATAGTTTTACATGATATAGAATTCTTGCAGGATATAGAATTCTTAGTTGACAGCTTTTTTTTTTTTTTTCAGCAGATTAAATATAAATCTCATTGCCTTCTGTCCTCCATGGATTTTGATGAGAATTTACCTGCTGGTCTTAATGAGGAGTTCCTAGTTAGACAAAACAAAGTCAAGCCCCCTGCATCAGTCCTGCAGGCAGCACTCACACAGATCAAAACGGACAGACACAATTTCTTGGAAACATGTCTCTTTAGCTCTATTTTTAGAACCAGGAACTCACAGTGGGAGCTCTAGCTTTCTTCTTCAAGACTGTTGCCAGGGAGTGCCTGGGTGGCTCAGTTGGCTCAGCTGGCTCAGCTGAAACCTCTGACTTCAGCTCAGGTCATGATCTGTTGTTTTGTGGGTTTGAGCCCCACCTCAGGCTCTGTGCTGACAGCTTGCTCAGAGCCTGGAGGCTGCTCCGGATTCTGTCTCCCTTTCTCTCTGCCCCTCCCCTGCTCAACTCTGTCTCTGTCTCTCTCAAAAATAAATAAACATTTAAAAAAAAATGTAAAAAAGACTGCTGCCAGAGTGGGGAGGGAGTTGGGCAAGGGTAAATTATGCTGTTTAAAGCCCACCACATTTTAGCTCTTTCCTATTTAAAAGTTTTCTTTGTAAACTTTTGACTGTTTTCAAGAGTTCTTTTTTTTTAAATATGAAATTTATTGTCAAATTGGTTTCCATACAACACCCAGTGCTCATCCCAACAGGTGCCCTCCTCAGTGCCCATCACCCACTTTCCCCTCCCTCCCACCCCCCATCAACCCTCAGTTTATTCTCAGTTTTTAAGAG